ACACACACACACACACACACTCACATATATATACACACAAGCACACACACACACACACACACACACACATATACACACAAACATACACACACACCATTTCCTCAGCACTTTTGGCCTCAGAGGGCCTACGAACATCCTGCCTCTATTCCACCATTAATGCGCATCCTGTTTTTCTGTGTTGTGCCATCCTACCTTTAGATTGTGGACAAGTTATTTTGGGTAAGGCATGGCAGAGAATGCATCCGCTCCCCCACTCACTCACTGGACAACTCACTCTTTCACTCACTCACTCACCCCCACTCACTCACTCACCCACTCACTCACTCAATCTCCCTAGCGTTAATTCTTTCATCTATTCGCTTGCTCTGTCGCTTCCTGATCCACTAGGGCTCTCCTGTCGTCTGCTCTCCTTCTTTCAAGACAACTGGAAACAGTGTGTACACCATTCACCCTTTTATTTATTTATCATGTATTGTCTTTCAATTGCTCCCTGGACAATGGCTTTTCTCCAACGTAGACGTACCGATTCATTTGTCATTGTTAAAAGTATTATTTTGCATTATTTTGCATTTATTGTGTGCATTTGATAAATATGACGTCTTCTGGGACTGTTTTGATACCGTCAGTTAATTTTAATGTCAAAATATATACAGATTTTGGGTTCAACGATCTGCATTAGAAAAGATCGTATAAATTTGTTTCCACCAATATTTTTTTCAGTGTCATCTAATTTCAAGATTTGATATCTTGGTAGATCTAAAGTGAAGAAAAAGAACAGGAAAATAGTTTTTTTTCCGAGATATGGAAAAGCAATATTTAAAAGCAAGAGGACCTCAAGTTTTATTGTTGTCGTTATGTAGTTGATTCAACAGTTAAACTGTTTTGACAGTTTGTATAAAACCTTTTTTTTAACATAGATGTTATAACCTTGACTTAAACATAACTAGTGATATTTCCAGAGTTAACATTAAAGTTTTTAAAAAAAATGACATTAATGTTAATGTAATTATGAACTGAGAATAACATTTGTTGGTGTATGAACACACCTCTGGGTTTTAGTTTTTCTGTTTCCATGGTTTTTTCTTGCTTTTACAAAAAAAGGAGCAACTTGAAGGGGAAATGACCACTCCCTATCATTATTTCTTGTTATTATGTTGGATTAATTTTTATGGCGGGCCTTTGAATGTATTATTCGTTTCTGTAATTCTCATCCTTGCTTCCCATTTAGTTGTTTGGACTTGTTATCAAAGCGCAAAATAATCCCTGAAATTTTCAAATTTGATAAGGAAGGGTGCTAAATGATAGTGATTATTGTTTTGTCATTTCTTTTTGCCCAGATGCTGATAGTGATTTTTATGGCTTACTTTGAGCATTTGTGTCTGATCAAGAAAGCTTGTAGTGAAAATATTTTTCGCTGGATCACATTTGCTATTGATGTAAAACTAAAGATTATGAGCATGGTGAATGTGGCTTTTTTTTTTTTGGTACCTTTGTAAGTTGCTGTCTGGTAAAGAATGACATCCCAGTTTGTGTGCACTGAAGATTTTCTTGCGCTGACAATGAGGATTGGAACAGTCTTGTCTTTGGTTGTCATTGTCAAGTAAGAATGACTTGATGTGCGCCCCCCTCTTAGTACTGGTTAAGTGTAATCTCGTTCTCTTGAAATATGTTGCTCGTCTTTTTTTGTAACTTCCAAGAATCAGTGTCATAATTAATTAACATCTCTTCTGAGTTCCTTTAAAAAAGATATAATATGGCGGAATTTTCATAATTGTGTCTTGCAATTCAATTTTTACGGCGTCCTTGTTTTCCCTTTGCCACAAGTATTTCTTTTAAACAGTAGTATTGTTTCTCATCCTGTCGGGCAATTAATGTACGGTATTATTGTCAGTTGCTACTTAAAAATTGGCTGTGTCATGATGCAGTGGAATTAAGCACTCGTCAAATTTTGGGCATTTGGAGTTATTGGCTTCATTTAGAAGGTCGTTCTTTTGCCTTGCTTTTGATTTTGAAAAGTACACATCTATTATGAATAGAAGTTGAGATATTTGCAATTAACCCTATCCGTACGTTGTGTTTTACTATCGTATCCATGCGATGTGGGGAACTCTGTGCCACCACTTTCCAAAGAGGAAATTTACTCGTTAATCCGATCCGTACACTTTGCATAGCATTCTGTCAAAATGATTTTTTTTAGAAATACTGAAAGTTTGAAAGAGATCATCGTACTAGAAGTATTCTAAAATGTGAAGAACATAACCCCGGGGATACAAAATGACCTTTGAGCGTACGAATAGGGTGAAGTTAAAGGAGGTGGGGGTCTCCTGGTTTCAGAGGTAGAATTAGCGAAAAAATATCCTCCAAAGTTTGGTAGCTTTCATGTTCATAATTTGAGTTCTTGGAAACTGAAAATTTACTTTTTTTATGCCTTTAATGAAAGTTTTTCAGTTAAATCCAGGCGAAAATGAGTTATAAAATGGACGTAAAAAGTGTTTAGTCAAAAAACAAAAATTTGATAAAGATCGCTAAACCAGGAGAAAAATTATTTTGATGAGCGCCTGGTTTCACCACTTGGCCTCCCATTTTATTCCAAGTTTGTGCCCTGATATGGCCTCAGCATCATTATATTATTTCATTGTCATAAAGACTTATTCTGTTTCTTGTTTTACCCCTTCGGATGAGGTAGGTCTAAGAAGTGGCATTTAAGATGAACTAGCTTCACTTCTAATGATGAAGATGTGTTTGCTCCTGTACGCATGAGACTGAAAGTCTCGACAAAAGGGAGGCATTTTAGATGCATAGATTACTTTGAAAAAGCTGTGGTGAAATAATGTACAAGGCCACTCACAATCTGCATGTCTTTGCATGGGTCACAGCACGCACGTAACTAATGATGTTGCTGAATGTCCATAGTCTTTTGTAAGACCTAATTGCATTTTTTTTGTTTGGTTTTCTTTTATATGTTGTTTTCTACTACCGCCAAACTTTTTTCTCAAAAGCCCCCTTGCTTAAATTCAGCACGTGTGTGGCCTGCATTTTCTTATCCTTGTTTGTTCAGTGTTGTACTCTGTGTTGTTGTTGTTGTTGTTGTTGTTGTTGTTGTTGTTGTTATTGTTGTTGTTGTTGTTGTTGTTGTTGTAGATATTTTATTAGTTTGGTTTGGCTTTTTTTTTCTCCCAATGGAGCGGCATTTCTTTACAAATTATTTCTGAGTAATACATTTTCGTTCTCTTTGTAGATGTAATACACAGGGTGGTAGGTGAGAAGAGGAGATAAAGTAATAGATAACAAAGGAAGAAATCGCATCCAAACTGACCCAAGTTTTGTCTAGTGTTTTCGTTTTAAAAAACGTGTATTCCTGTGTGGCAAGAAACCAACAAACGAATAAAGTTGAGTGATTTAATGTGTGTTGAAATCGAGGAGAATTCATGCTGCTGAATGAGTTGGTCGTTTAGGCAGTTGGAAGTCACGTCGTAAACATGGATCTTTTTGGTGCACGGAAGTGCTAGCAGTTTAGTATGCAGTGTGAGTAGTTTGGTGTGCAGGCATCGCCACATGTGCCCAAAATATATATACACGAGAGAGAGAGAGAGAGAGAGAGAGAGAGAGAGAGAGAGACAGACAGAAAGAGAGAGACAGAGAGACTGTGATCGGGCTAAATTCTTGCATAATAATTGGTGGGGTTCGAAGATTGCATGTCTGTCTCCTGTTTTGTCAACGTTTCTAATCAGTGTGTTATTTGTGAATAAATGGTCTGTAGAGCTTGTCGGGGGAGAAATGTTTTAGAGTTGGAAGAGGGGAGCTAATATTTGCAACAGGAGATATCGCCTTTTGACCTGGTAGTCGTACTTGTTTTGTCTTCTCATTTGCATCAAAGATCTTTTGTTTGAACATTGTTGTTTTTTTTGGGGGGGGGGGGGGGGGGGGGGGAGACACACATGGCACCGAATATTTTAAAGAGAAATTGAACAATTTGATTTTCTATTGGTTTCGTTGACGTTTTGCGGACACGCTTCTCTTTAATACCCGAACAAAGAAGTATGAATATTTTTGAATAAATTGGCCGCTAATTAAAGTGAGTGCAGGTGTTTTAAAAATGTCCATGATGATGTGATTTTTAAAAAAGAAAGAACAATTTTTACAAGAATGATGTGAAGAATTTTTTTAGAATAAGAATGAAACAAACATGAAAGTATTTCTTTTCAGTCAGTAAACATAAATGTTTAGTGTTTAAAAGTGTGCGGTCATGTTCAATGTTCATTCAATCTACATAGACATGATGTGATGGGGGAAATTGGAAGGTGCCACTCTTCTTTTCTCGTTTCTGTCCGTCCTTCTTGTTTTTTCTTCATTGCAAATTACTTTTATTGGGTTACAAAATTAAGACACACTTTTCAAATTCTGATTGCTCTCTCAATTCATCAGGGGCCTTACCATAATGAAATAACAAACCTTGTACTGTTTAATTTACAAAAGTCTCTGAAATTTTACTTCCAGAGTTTCTGAAAGTTTTCTTTTCTCATTTCATCATTACCTGATCAGTATCTGCACCCATTATATAAATCTTCATTTATCATGACTCACCCCATTCTTTCATCTCGTAGGGAACTCTTTAGATGAACCTGTATGTAAAAGGGTGCACTTCCATCAGACTTTCTCAATGAGAAGAACAAAATGAATAAAAAAAATGAAAATGAACTCCTGTACTTGCCTAACGAGGTGATGACAATTTGTGAAGTATGGAGTTGAAGCAATAAGGCTAATTTGATAAGAATACCAAAAACAAATGAATGCAGACTTGTAGCCGTGGATATTTTAAAGCTTTTGAATATTGTTAAACTTCTTACTTTGCTGTTGGGGCAGTTATATCACCAAAAGACAAAACGTTGGAGGTAAGAGGACAGTAAGTTCTGGGACTAATAAAGGTGTTTGTAGGCCTATATGCTGATACATGAGTTAGGTGGAAGCTCTGGAATTCATTAATATTTTCTAAATTCATTGTCGTGTGTATGTTATTTATGTTTTGTTTTGTTTGCTTTCAGTTTGGTCTTTGGTATGTTTTTTTTTTTTTCAAATCATTTTTTTTCTTCGCTGCTGTACGTTTCATTTTGTGTACCATCGTTTAAAAACATTAAGATGTACAAATAATTGTAGCATTTGATGATGTGCTGCCCTTAAAGAAAAATGCAAATTGAATGTGTTATCTGCATTTGGCAGTTGTGTTCTTTAACGTGTTTGTTTTAATTTTATATTGCATTTTTCTGCTAAAGCATGGTGTCCGAGCATCAGATTTATGTCTGTGTCATCAGTCTTCTGTACCAATTGCATAGTTCTTATATTATCATAACCACATGTAATTTAACACATGTCAAACAACTTTCCTGTCGAAATACTTGTTCACGTTGTGAGTGCATCATTACATAATCATATTATCCATCCTTATTTTGTCTGTAATTGTACATTTAAAAAACTTATCGTGGTGTTTGTTTGTAATTCTGAACAAAACGCCTTCTTTTTCTGTGTTCCCTTGTTAAGCCTCGGGGACTATCTACTGTAGGTTCTTCATCCCTTGGAGGAATTGGTTTTACTGATATGGTCCATTTTTTCTCTAGGTTGAAGTATCCCTCACCTATCTCGCTGCCATAGCTTCTTAATTAATTACATTACTGTCAATAGTGTCTTCACTTTTTTTTATAGAGAGTAATTTGAAACTTTGCTCAAGACAACAGGTCTAGGTGTGAGCTCAGTCCCATCTTTCTTTGGGATCAGGATTTTGAGCAGTTTGAGAAAATTCTGTCCTGGCTATCCTTTGATCTTGTCTGGTTGAACTGAGATTTTAACAAGGAAGTTCTTTGCAAAAGGCAGGCTCTTTATCTCAAGGCTAATGGCCCTCATCCTTCTCTCAGTAAATGGGTTAATGGTACAGCCCTTTCGAGGCCATTTATTTAAGCGTCTATACCAACATGCTCCTGGTCTGTCATTGATAACGGGCACGTTCTTGTCTAGAGTTGAGATATAGTTCATGCGTAAAAAAATTTACAATACTTTCGTTCATGATGTAACATTTCTTTTAAAATAATTTCTAGATTTATAGAACTACTATAAGCATTGTGTCATTTCTGTTAAATTGAAAAATTCATCTCAGTTTTAAGAATTGCTTTTTTTGTGTGTCATGTGTATACGAGTAGTTTTTAAAAACTTTTTGAAATTTTGAGATTGATTTATTTCTTCCTGAGTAGACTGCCATTAGATCCCCATTTGTGTTCTCTTCATTCAACATCCTTTTTAACTCACATATCTGTTGATGTCTGTCTACCACGTAATGTTTTTTGGATGCCAAATTAGTGTTATTTGATTAAAGCAACAGGTGTAAATGGTCCCGTGAATGTTTAGTGCAATACTAGCTGTCCTTTTGAGGTTCAAGAGGTTCAATGGACTTAGAGAAGTAATGTTAAAAGCTTGACTTCTTTGGTTTTGCCAGTTGAATTAGAAATATTTGACATGGTTTCTGGAGTTTTGCTCATCTATTTCACTTTTTGAGCCGCTTACGTAGCACTCTGAACCTGTGAGAGAGAAATGTTAGATCAAAGTTCCTACTCTTTGATGTCTTGCTGTGAACGTAAGATGCTTAAAAAATAAAAGTTTTGGATGAAATACTTCTTTCTCTTTTTTGTGTCCTCTTGTATTTCTGTATTTCCCCGGTACTGGGAAATGGTTGGCTAGTGGGCTCTATGTTGGGTTTTTTCTCCTTCAATCTTTTCATATTTCGCTGTTTCCCGATTTGTTATCCGTTATATTTGGAATGATTTAATATTGAAAATGTTGTAAGGACTTGTGATAGGTATTAAATAGCCCTCAAGAGCTTCATAATTTCATATGACATTTTGAAAAAGAAAGCATAAAATTTTACTCGTAATATGGCGACTTTGTGGTTTCCCCTATGTGGAATGTTTCATCCCATCCATGAGCCGTGGCCCAGCTCACAAGCTCATAGACTTTGACCTAGGTCTGCAAAAAGTCTTCATCCAGTGTTAATATGTTCATAATTTTGTGCTATTCCTCTGACATTTGTATGGACCATGTTTCTTTCTCTCAGGATAGCTGAACTTGAAAGTTTAGTGCCCTCCCCTTTTTTAAAAACCCATTTTGGACTGTCTTGTTATATCATGGGTTTTTTTGTGTGTGTTTTTTTTTCCCCATTGTATCTTTGGGTCTCTACATTGTTTTTTTTTGTTTTTTCGAGCGTGTTCCCAAATATGTAAATATTAGTTGAGGAAAAGGAGTGACATGAATAGACGAGTTGATTTACTTGAATTAAAAACTTTTGAAGGTTTGTTGCAGATTTGTTAAAGAGGGGAGGTTTAAAAAAGAAATTTGACAGATTTTGTCTCCTTTACTTTCAGGGTGACACCTACAGCTTCAAGGATGCTATTCTTCTGGGCGAGTACAAAATAGACGACAGTCCTGTGGGGGCGGACAAGAAGCCTGAAAAAGTAGGTCAAAGTTGAAGGTCAAACAGCCAAATGAATGTGTGTCTCAATGCAATGGAATCGGGCGCTCATCAATTTTTGGGCATGTAGAGTTAATGGTTTCATCTTAAAGCTAGTTGGTTTGTCTTGCTTTCGATGAAAAAGTACCTGTCTATCTTGAACGGAAGTCGAGATATTTTCGATTGAGGAAGGTTGGAGTCTTCTGGTTTCAGTGCAAAAATTATTGAGAAAATGGCCGCCAAAGTTTGGTAAGTTTCATAGCTTGAATTTTTTTGTGCCTTTACTCTATAATTTCCAGTAAAATCCACTTAGAAATATGTTTTTAAAAAACATAAATGGTGTTGAGATAAAAAAACAAAAATTCGATTAAAATTTGCTTAACGGGTGGAAAAATGATGTTTTGTTTAATTTTGTTATTTTGACGAGCGTCTGATTTCACCGCATTGCTTCACATATTTTCTAGCCTTTAAAAAAAGTGGTTACGTGCTTTGCATATCTTTTGTTTTTTTCCTTTAAAATTTTGTTGTTATTTGAAAGTAAAAGTCTGGTTTTGTATCAGTGACGTAGAAAAACCACTCGTTTGTAGTTTGTACATTTTTGTTAAGTAAAAGAACCTTCACCAGGTCGATTTGCAATAAAATCAATTATTGCCGAATTGTTAAAGATTTATATTTTCTCAAGTACTGATAAACTATTTGATCACCAAAGTATTATTAGATTTTTTTGTTTTCATTGCTTGTCCTTTACTATGGACTTTCCATATTTTCTGAGTGGGTGGTTGGTGGGTGTTCTAGTATGGTTTGCTCCTTCTTTCCTATCAAACATCTATTGTCCCTTATCTGTCCCCTATCTTTTATTTGTATGTTCCTCTCTAGTAACAAGTCTAATCTTGGGCATTTTTCTGATCTTTTTGTGCTGCAAGTTCACAAAAATGTTACTGAAACTGAACTAGCTCTGCTTTCTGTGGTCTTCTCTGTTATCTGCTGTCTCTTTTTCATGCTCTGCCTTTTGGGTCGCTCATTACTATCTTTTGTCCTCCTCAGGGCGCACAAAGAGGGGTATGTATGGCACACGCTTTTTTAAATCATAAGATTTTATTGTTTGAAGGATGAGATTCAAGCTTATGTGTGTATTTCACCATCTCTGTAAGACTTGTCCAATCACCACTTTAAAAAGCGACATATGTGAGACAACATGATGAAATCAGGCGCTCTTAAAAATAAGGAAATCAAAGGAAAAAAAAGCATTTTTCCTTTGGTTTGGTAAATTTTATTGAATGTTTGTTTTATGGCACAAAACATTATATGTCCATTTAAAAACAAATAAT